CTACATATAGAATACCTAGATACGGTAAACATTTGTCTCATTTGTATGTCATATTTGTGTAATAGTATTTGAAGAACTTATACAGCACCAAATATTTGCAAACAGATAAATCAAATGTTGACCATACTAGTATGGTCAATATTGTTGTGAATTGTTCTTAGGTTTCATACTTTTACTTAATGCATGCTTATCATTTCATATTTTGAATCTTTCTTTATCTTTTCTTCCCAAACTATCCAAACAATTTGAAGTAACTTTTGTAATTTTCGTTTATAATTGTATTCACAATTTATACCTTATTCGTGTCAATTTTACCCAGTATTTAAAATTGACATAAAAGTTAGAAAAAAAAGGGACCCACAGTTTGGGGGCCTCCACTTAAACATGAATTATGAAGTTGTGATTGTTTTTTAGTTCGTTAAATGTTGAATAAGTCTCTATAGGCTATCCGGTTAAAAATGAATTAGTTGCCCTTCTGGATCATCAGTATATTTAGACATCTTTTAAACAGAATACCGCAACATACCTATACGACCAAAGAAAAGATAAAATTCTAAACTTCAGGAATCATTTGCTCAATAAGGACCCAGCCTCTATCTCAGATCATTATAAGATTCGTCTTCCCAGCCATTATTAATCTACTCAACCACATATAATATCTCTAAACCGTTCATACAGGTACCTAATACTGTCGTCATTTCGAACCGTCTATTCGTTGTCGTCTATGAGATTACCTATACAAATTATACAAACTAATAAACGGTTAACGGATACTACGCAAATGTATCCCGATAGTGCATATATATGTACTCTATGTTGCCCAGGGAAGAGTTGAAAAAATAAAAAATCTTTCTAAAAACTTGACACGCCTGTATGTAGCCTAGGTGTAGTGTAGGTACCTGAATCATCTTAACAAATACATGGAATATTTAACAAACGTACTGTATACGGTTCGAAGTCTCTTACGGTCGTATATTATAGCATTTTTAAGACTCGCGTGGGCAGATCACCAGCAAAACGTCAGTACATTTTACTACAATTTCGCACGCCCGACGCACCTACCCATGTACACGCATAATTATATCATTAAGGTATACAACACGAGTATATACGAATATACGTCGTTAAACTCCGACGCACACACACATACTACGCGTATACCATTTAGACACAATATCCGTCGCGGTCGATCGGCTGTAAAAACGCATTATCGACATCGTACTAGACATCGGTCGAGAAGCATAAATGTGAGTGCACATAAATTATTTTTATTGATAACTATACACTCAGACGTACGCCTAGTGCGGACTGTGCAGCGCTAACGAAGTATAATTTGTTATGTAAATCACGAAACGTACCTACCCATATATCGCCGATGAAGATAATGAGAAAATTTTAACAAATTTATACCGCGAGAGCCGCCGAAAACGGAACCGGCGAGCATATATTTATAAACACATTCCTCTCTCAGTCGACCGCATTGCCGCCCACACGAGTATGAATAGTTGTGTGTGTGTGTGTGTGTGTGTGTGTGTGTGTGTGTGTTTCTGCACAATTTTATAGATAATTAATAATAATATGATTATAATCGTCGGCAGAGTGGATTTTTCGTTTGTGTTTACGACTCTCTGCGCTGTGACGTCAGAACTACGCATATATTTTATAGAGGTAGGTCCACATATTATGATGTACCTAATGCGAAGGACTTTCCGCAATAAAAACTCGTATGATAATGATAATAATAATAATAATAATAATAATAATAATAATTGATACCATGATGTGTATAGTTGACTTGACCGAGTCGATGGCGACCGCGACGGACAACTAATAGGTACCTAAGACCAAAAAAACAATGATAATCGGATGCCGCGAGCCGGACGTATAATGACGTAGACGCAGAGCGCAGGTAAAAAAAACGTGCGAAAATCCGCAACAACAACAACAACAACAACAACACAAAACCACTATCCTGACCCGGACGCGAAAACTGGAAACGGCAATCTTCTCCGCTCCCCTGTCCCATCACCCGGAATAACCACTTCGTATCGCATAGATCGGGGGGTCATCAAACTTCCCCAATTAATAATCTGGCTCGCAGGTGAGAAATTATTTTTTTATAGTGAGTTAAATAAGGTTTTCATTGGGTTTTTCCCGAAAACATCATGAATTCCTACCGGGCCTCCGAGGATGTTAATTGGTGACCCCAGCAGGCGCATTACAGATCCTCGTGCTCGTGGATCGCGGGGTTTTTAAGAACCACGACGACCAAGTTCGTGGTAAAAATGTGAATGGTAATGTGTGTAGGAACTCGATTATCGAGCGTCTATGTGTGTTGCCATCTCAAATTTGATCGAGTACCAACCATTCAGCTTACCAAGTGAAATATCCAATTTCGCGTATCGATTTGGCTACTGAATAATTGATTCCATCATGTCACACCACTTTCATGTAGATACGTTTCGTGTAGATTATCTGGCTAAAAGGCCCCACTCGTGGGTGATATATGTATGCTGCTTTGAGATGTAAGTGATAACTAAATGTCTTAATATTGTTGGAATTATATATTTGTTGAACGGATTTTACATACGTATCAACTGAAACCATATTTTATCACTAAGTGTCTAATCTAAGATCATACCTGAAGTTTGTCATTTTTTTTACGAAATATTTTCCACTCAGAATTTCGTTATCAATTTATTTTCGGTGGCGATGTATGCAACACCTGCCGTGGCCCATATAGTGAGCGGTAAACGAAAAACTTTAAATTTAAATAATTTAACAATTATCGCCTGTCAACAGACAACAACAACTACAGGTTTATTTCATATCACTGTAAGTATAGTCCACAAAAAACATTTATTGACTTAATATTGTTGCTCTTGATATGAGGTACTAATTACTCTAGCTATATCAGAGGTGTCGTGGTAAGGACGTAGACTGTACACATTTTCAGAGGTCGTTTATTCAATTTTATGTTATTAGTAGGTAGATAGGTAATCGAACTAAAGAAATAAAAACAAGTGTGAAAAAGCGCATCGACGAGAACACTTTTCTGCATTTCGGGAAAGTAGAACCACTCGAACCCCCAATCCACATTGCTACCCCCCTCCCCGCCTACACAAATACGATTTGATCGACAAGACACGACACACGACGAAGCTGTGAATCCGGCCATACACAATATCGGAGACTCCCCATCACGAAAAGAAACGTCGTCGCGGAACGATCGCCCACGCTCAGCCAGCACATAGTAATATAGAGTATAAGTATGGCATAAGGTAAACGCGTCGCGCGCGCTACTACTTCATTTCCGGAAGTTAATTAGCCAGCGGAAATTCAAGGCCAAGTCGGTCGTTATAATTCATAGGCGCACGCAGCCACACTAATATCGTATATGATGTGTATATATAATACATATATATATATATATATACAATATTGAATATGTGTATTTATGACCTATAACTGTAGCCATACGGCTTATGTCATAATATACGTTATGTGCACGTTATTAAATATTGGTAGGTACCTGCAATGGCATGTGCGAGGCGATTCGCCTTGGCCAGGCGACCGCGTGCGGATTGTGAAAAAAAACCGATTCGAAATCCACAAACGTACACTTGATTTTACGCACGTTGTTCTTTTTTATTTATCAATCGGACAATACATTATATTATTATTCGACATTCCGCATGACTACACAACACAACAGTATAATCGTAATGATAATGATAACAACAATAATAATAATAATAATAATAATAACCGTAATGGCATAACAATATACATAATCATAATAATATATAACAACGATAATAATGTTACTGGTATACATATAGCCTATATATATATATACATACACGACATTACGACGGTAGGCAGACAGGTAGGCATAGTATACGAATTATGGCCGTGTATTAAAAAATAACAAATAATCACGCGAAATTGGTAATCTTACACGCGAAACTATAAGTTATTATAGTTTAATATGCACATATCATTATTATCATTACCGCGACACGCATAATTTATGTATCGTTTCCATGACGTAGGTACATTATAACATATTTTCATGCTTCGAAGATAACGCCTGTAGGTATAGATAGGTTGACTCGTGTTACATATAGATAACTACGAGGCAGCAGTTCCCAAATTTTTTTTGACAGTCGATTGAATCTATAAAAATGGGAAATTTCTCACCTTCTCCCCTCGTTTGCATATGCATAATATAAAACAAAGAAGGCCTGTGCGTATTAACTACTTTGTCGATTTTATAATTCATTTTTTGTGAATAATGATGAATAGATTATAGTTACGTATATAGGTAATACGAGAAAATAATAGCAATATTGTACAATTTTAAATGATGAGATCCAAAAAAATATTGTCATTGAATTGGTAGTTGAATACCGGTGCCCAACCACAAACATGTTCGAAAAAATAACTGCAGTAAGTGGTCGGTCGGTTTGGGAACCGCTGCCATATATATTACACAACGGAAAATTTTGCTTATCAACAAAGAAAAAACAGATCTGCTAGCGGTGTCTTAATAAATATATCAAGAAGAAATGTCACAAGTAGACGGGAAAAATAATAAATGACGAATAATAAAATATATTGGCGGAACGTTAACATTTCTATTTTTAAAGAGAGAGGAAGAGTGAAAGAGAGAGAAAGGGAGAGACAAAAATTTAAAAAAAAGTTTTTTTTTAAATAATGCAAGGTTGAATAATATAATATCACATGCACACAAAATAGTCTTAAAAAAAATATGTAGGCAGAGTACTAGAGTAGCTCAGTTAACTATGGTTATTGTTTTCGTTAGACGCAAGAGACGCGTTCGTCACAATGTTTTATTTGTGTGCTGAATATAATATATTATTTTACGATGTGCATTATATTTTATCATAACACACGACTCGTGTCTTCTTTCGGAATAATATTGTACGTACCCATACATCACACAGTGAGGCGTTAAAATAATAATAATAATATGATTCGTTCGTATTTGCTGGCACATAAAAATACCGGGAACCTTTATTTTCATTATTATAATAATATATTATACAATACTAAACAGTATACAATTTCTTTGTAACGTAAACATGATAATATTATTATACACGAAAGTGTATAATATAATCTCTTAATTATTATTAGTAATTACACTGGTCCCGTAATACTAAGGCACGTGAGGCCGTGTTTCGTACAAAATAATAATAATAATAATAATAATAATAATAATAATAATAATAAAAATATTAATAATAATAATCACATATGGTTTAAATTATTACACAAAATATATAAAACAAACGTTACATAGGTATCACATCAAAATATTTTGAAAAACACGACTGGATTTTATATCGAAATGGTTTCGTCTGAAAAAAATATTTTTTTTAATCTGTTCACGTGTCTTACACAAATTTAAAACGAAAAAAATATTTGTACAAAACGCAAAGAAATGCGTAAAACGTTTATACACACGATAATATGCGGACTGTTAATTTCCAACACCTAACACGATAGTATACAATAATTATTACTATAACGTACGATAATAGACAGACTTATAAATTAATATATATATATATATATTGCATATCGTACATACACATTATGTGGTATTTTTTATATCGTAATGTATGTAGCCCCGGGTTCTCAAAATAAAAATATATTATAATGAAGAAAAAAAATAATAATCTCACTCGATTTCTTTTTTTTTTATGGATTTTTCTTTCGTATGCACAGAAGCGATCGCCACAACGACCGGGCGTACCGACTTAACAGCGACAGAGGGGCAATACAAACAAAACCAAAAAACAGACCACATTATTATACTAAATAATAATAATACATATATATAATATACATATTATGCATAATATGTATATACGATATAATAATATTAAAAATAATTATATCTAATAATAAAAAGGGGGAAAAGAGATGTAGAGAGATAGAGATAGAGAGTTTGGGGAGAGGGTGAGTGGATAGAGAAATTTGTCCACTAAAAAAAAAAAAACGTCTGCTCGGAACACAGACGCATCCGTAGGTCAAATAATATTATTAATTTGGGCGTGTTGAGCAATATTGTTGGCGGCGGCAGCGGCAGCAGCAGCGACCGTCTAGCAGCGTCGGCGGCGATGTCGGCGGCTGCTGTGGCTTGCCGTCGTCAGCGGCTGCGGCAGCGGTCAGTTCGCTCCGGTCGTAGCCCTGTGCACCAGGTCGGGCCTAGACAGTCCGTTGCTGTTTATGTAGTAGTCCGACTGTTTGCTGTAGCCGTTCGACGACTTGGACGAGCCGTTGGCCGAGGGTTTGGATTGGGCGCCGACCTAAAATAAAGCAAGGTGAAAAAAAAACGATAGTGTTAATCACGATACGAATATTACACGATGGATGATAGATAGGCGCGTAAACGACTTCACAATATTGCAATTCACTACCGGATTATAATTTAAAAAAAAAATTGCCCGATAACTGTATCGATCGTGCACATACATCGATATAGGTACATAGAAATATTATATTATTATGTGCGCGTGTCAATAGATGGAGAGAAAGAGAGAGAGAGAAAGAGAGAGAGAGAGAGAGAGAGAGAGAGAGAGAGAGAGAGAGAGAGAGAGAGACGTAAGTCGGCTGACGAACTAGTTTAAGAATTCGCATCGGGTTTTTCCAATGTCACGTCGCGTCCATCGGCGACCGCCTTGGCCGGCTCCACACACCAGACGGACACGTCGGCGGAATGCCATTTTTTACTACTTCTACTACATGTTTTGAGTCGTAACGATATATTTATAATACCTATTGGCTATTATTATCAGCTCTCACACACACACACACACACACCACACGTCAAGTGATTATATAAAATTAATGTATATTAAATCGATACCGTCCATACGGATCACTCGACAAGAGCTTCGAATTCGTACGATCTGTTATCACCAAAATCGAGACAAATACCCCTGATGAAAATCAGGTCTTAACACATATAAGTGACGGCATGTTGGATTTTGCTCATAACTTGTGTTTTTTTATCTATATTTAAAAGATTCGCGTATTCAAATCGATACGGCAATCGGATAATCGAAAAAACGACAATAATTAGCGATTTGGCGATAAAAAAAATAACGCAACTATAAAACGACATGTGTGTATATGCCGAGTTTAAATCATGCGCATTGGTATGGATTAGACGCATCCAAGTCGTATTCAGAAGGTCTCGAAACAAAAAAGAATGCCATGCGCTATCACCGATCTTCAGACATGGCCCTGTCGTCGTTTCGAATAAATTACGCAACAGCTTTTTTTTATCGTCTTACAATTTTTTTACTAACGATAATCGCGAGGAGGTGATTATCTTCGATTATGACATATCTTCTACACAGTCTTCGTCGTATACAACCGAGCGAAGTCAACAGCGAGCGTACAAAAGATCGTATGGTTTTAAACAAAAGACGATTCCTCCACACGCACATCATACCCAAGCAATTGTGATTTTCACATAACGCGAAATCAACGACATACTTATAAATAATAATGAATAAACGTTTAAATGTAATAATGGCGCAGGTTACGCGATCTAGCAATCTAGCGATCTAGCGATCAGCCAGTTCGTATTCCCGCCGTACAATGGAGACAGACACGTAATTTCGCTATAAAATATGGTTTAAATATTGCTTAAAAATAAAAGTTGCAGCGGCGGGCTTTCCCGTGAGCATTATAAAATTTTTAATATGATAGGTATAGTGAGAAAGTGTACGCTTACCGTTTGTTTCGACGGTTTCGTGTACTGTTGCTTGTAGAACTCCTTGAACAAGAAGAAGAACATTACGGCGTGCATGCCGATCCACCAGACGAAAGCTTTGGGGTAGTTGCAGTCGATGAAGAGGAGTTGGAACGCATGCAGCATGATGGCCAAGAATTGCAGCATCTGCAGGGTGGTCAAGTACTTCTTCCACCACAAGTATTTCTGTACGTTGGGGCCCAAGGCAGCCAACAGGTAGTACGAGTACATGATTATGTGGACGAACGTGTTCAGCAGTCCAAAGAACGTGCTGTGACCGCCTGTTGGAAAAGAGCCGAGAAAAAAATGATGTTTAAGTCATATTGAGAAGTAGTTTTTTTAGTGTCCTCCCGTCTGACATCAAAAAATCTTCTACAGATAAATGATATTTAGAGATCATTGCTCCCGAGAAGATATTATCTAGGTTTATTCGATGTGATAATACAGTGGTTATGTTTACTCTCTAGTGGAAAACGCCCTTGGTCGGTTTTCCGGATAAACCTCATAATAATAAAACGGAATAAAGATATACGAGAGTATATATTCAGTTGTGTTTATATATAATACGGTGGTTTTAGAGTAATATTATACAGCAGTCTTTAAAGATATTTTCTAAAATTCTAAAAACAACCTAAGTACTATACAGCGATAGTAACGCGAACGTAGGCAACAGGAAGTTTCACGGCATAAGGTCTCGGTAAAGGTCACTGCTAATCCTTGTCAACCTTATTATCACACAATTATATTAATAATTATAGTAATCGGATACAGCCGGTTCACCACCGACGTCGTAGTCATCGGAGGTCGGGACGCGTCTGCTAATTTATTCGGCAGTAAAAGTATTAAAATCATAAATTATTTCATAATCTATCGTTGTAGTCATAAAATATTATTTCAACTTTATTTGTTTTCATTACCTGGTGTGAACTTCACTCCAAACCACACGCTCAATGGCATCACTCCGTGATGAATCACGTGCAGGGTCGAAATGTGCCTATCCTTTTTGCGGAGAACAAAGAATATCTGCGCACATACACATACATTTCGGAGTGTTATTAATCGATTCATATAATAATTACACGCATGTGTAATTAGAGTATAAAAAAAGGTTAATTACCGTGTCCATGAATTCTGTGAATTTTGAGAAATAATACCACCAACATACGTTGACCATCTATACAGTCATCCGAGAATAGAAAAAAGTATTAGTAAAACACATAAAAGTTGAGCGTACATTTTTGCTTTTGAATTTAAAAAAACCACGCAAACTTGACACAAAAAAAATGTATAATAACTATAAAAAAATCTACAAGAAAAATATTACAATGACGGTGAAAACCTGTCACATGAATCTAAGTTAAAAAAAAAATAAAGAAAAATTTGAAAAACGACGCAATGTATGCCATGATAACTCACCCGCAGGGTCATTGGATGATTCGAGTAATCTACCGGCTCACACCGGAAATTATACCTGCCAGTCAGCCAACCTGATATGCCAAGCTGTAAAAACCACCACCGCCATCATAAAATACAATGTACAATTTTTACAACTATAAATTATTAAATATATTAATCATACATATTATATTATTAAAGTTTGTGCTTATAGTATAATCAGTTTCACGGTCAAGTAAAGCACAATTTAAGTTATTCCCAAAAAAAAAATGGTTAGGATTTATATGTTTAGTTCTTTCTCTATACTGGTTCAAAATAACGGATATATCCCGTCCGTGTGATATCTAATAAATCTTTATGTTGCAGATTTTTGGTCAAATTATTTTTACTTAATCCGAATCATTAGAATAATGTATTTTATCGAATATTAATAACGTTGATTGTTAACGAGTTAACAGATTGTTAACCACTATCGAATAACTAATCATCACTGGTTTCACACTTGAGTTTAAAACCAATAATATTTTGAAACAACAAAAAAATAGGAAGATATAATATTAGAATTTTTATAAACATTTCATGCATATTCAATTTAACTATTTTAACTAACATATGGGTTGTGATACATTTTCTCTTATTATATTTACATTTAAACATTTAGGATATTCAATCAAACTTAATATAATTAACTACATACAACACCAATCATAAATCAATATTAATTTTGCCTGTATTCCCCAACATCAAGTTTATGGTCCTTTACAATACAACAAACATACATCAAAATAAATAATCAGATTAATTCTGCTCGTAACATGCATTTACCAATAATAGTTTCTATATGCTTATGTATAATATAAATATATATACCAAAACCCAGCAGCATTCAATAGATTGCATTTTACAAGTGTGTCAGGAAATACATTCACAACCTCCTATAACGCACATAGTTTATGCAATTTATGTTATTTAAAAAATAAAGTAAAATTATAAACACTAAAACACCTCAACATTCACACAATATAATATGTTCTCGTCATGTATTATTCGCATATAATACAACTTAAATTAAGTCCCAAATAAATCTAAACTAAACTTAGTCGTAAACTAAATTTGGTCTAGGTATTGTTATATGACAAAATATATGTTATTATAATATGTTATTGTTATGATGAGTAAATGATGTTAATAGCCAAAAGATATATATTATAATATTATGTTAGTATTAAAGTGTAAAATAACCATTTTTCTTAAAATTTCACATCCAAAATTAATTTTGAATGGAAACCATGCATTTTCCTAAGCTTATTGTATGCTTTTTACTTACCAAATAATCGTTTTTCATTTGTTTAATTTATATATAGAATTGTGTGTCTAATTGTATCTATTAATTTGAAATTCATTGTACAGATTTTTTTAAAAACATTATTACTTATTATAGTAATTACATTATTGTCGGCGTATCACAACACAGCCTGTAAAAATTTGTGTCAAGTACACGAGGCTGACTTTTTATTAAATTCTGAAATTATTGACGCATTTCAGTTTTGTCAACTTACTCTTACTGTGGACGGTTTATCCGAATAATCTACCGGTTGGCAACTGAGACTATATTCACCCCACCAGCCGCCCATCATACACTGCAATGCCCATCAAGTAAATGTATAGAAAACAATTAATGAACATTAACTTACAAAGTCAAGACAGTAAGTATTATGAGAGACTTATGAAATAATTATAAGTAAACAAGTGGTGTTGCGTCTATAAAATAAATATTACATAAATCCGTGTATATTATAAATATGTGTATATATATGTATGTGACATGTGTGTATGTATGTGTATGTGTGTGTGTTTATAGTTAATCAGTGAATGAACAAAAGACGCTAGACCACTCGTCGATCACATATAAAGCAAATGTTATGTTCGTGAGGATGAATTTTATATAATAATATAATATACCTAGACCTAAAAGAAAAAATCATCGTTGTTATTTATCGACTCATTACATACTACGTAGTATTAAAAGATAGAATATTCAAGTAAAATTCCCAGCCATAAACTTTTCACCATATTAACGTAAGTGACTAAGTTTTAAAAACAATAAATATGAAGTGTAATGTTTTTGTACAAAACTTCAAAAAATAAAAAATGATACCATACTAAAGCTAAACACTTCTTTGATTATACCTTCAAAATATATTATTATAACTAGTTACCTATTATTTTCCTTTCCGTATTTCACATTTTCACACCATAAACTTGTAAAACTCTACACATCAAATCAACACAATCGAACTTGTATACTTCAGTATAAAACTGCTCCGACTCACTTCTTTGCCAATTCTTTATTTATTATTTAACGATATCCAATTTTTTTCTAACATTTTTACTAACCCATGGTTTTAACACCAATTACTATTTACCTGATTATATTCACTATTTTTTTCTGACGCTATTTTATGCCATTTCGAGCGGCGATCATCTAACGTCTTCCTCACCCATATATACGTGCAACGGTTATGCAAATTCCCCCGGGTATATTATCCAAAAATCGTTGTACGAGGAAAATCATGGTTTTAAAGTATAATATAATAGATTGAACGATCGCCTTAAAAGTGGTTCGAACAATCTTGACGTAAGTGCAGTCGTTGTTTTTATTATTTGTTGTTCCTATATTGCAATAATACCCACGCTTACCTCATAAAACAACCAAGAGCTGAATATGACTTGGAAAAGATTATATGCGATGAGTATGTTCCTCAGCTCCATTGGTTTGCGGTTGGCCATAATTCGCGGCCCCGCAATTTTGACGGTGAACACGTACGTAGCGCATATCAGTGCCGTTGGTAGAGGATTGCTCATCAAAAACCAATCCTTGGTACGAGGGTCTACAGAGAATATACGAGGTATAATTATAAATTATTTCCGGTTGATAACAGTTTGTAGCAGTTATTGCCACGATATGCACTGTTGTATAGTTTGTATTATTATCACATGACGTATTAACTGGCAGTTTTTCTTTCATATGCGAACATTTTCGTGTACAACAAAAATCGAAATTAGAACGTAAATTTATCGTATAAAACAAAAATCGAAATTAGAACGTCAATTTATCGTATAATATGATATGGTTTCATCGACTCCCTTCTGCAATAGGTTACTAGATTGTCGTTACGAACACCGAGTATATTATGAAATCGATTGACGACTCGTTAAAACTAATAATAGCGCAACATTGGAATCGATAAAAAATTACCTTTAAACTACCGACTTATATAGAATAACTATATGTATATTAATAATTAATAATATATATTGATTGTATTTACGTTAAGGTATTTTTTTAATTCACGTTTTAAATTAAACCACATAAAAAAATCGTAGACATTAGCCTTGGACATAATGTGATATTTTATGTTTATTCTACTTAAACATGTTTATCGAATTTTATTTCCATCCATAATCTTTTGCAAGTAATAATAAATGACTATAAAATATACTGAAATATAGGTGTCTACTGTATTATATAAGTTTGAAGTTTCTAAATAAACATATTGGTACTTATGTAGGTACATTTAAAAAAATAGCAATAGTTATAATATAATAGTTGCAGTGGGATAAATTAAAACGTTTTCAACATTTTTTGTGATGGAATAATTTATAGTGAAAAAGGTAATTTTTTTGTTCTTCACCAACATAAAACATGTCTAACGAGATTAATTCCTCGTTAAATTGTTTAATAAAATCGACTTTTGGGCAAAAATGTGAAAATTCTCAAACAAATGAGAAAATTGTCCCAAAAAAATATATATTTGTTATTATTATCTGCCAATCATTGCAGACGGTAGGTACTGCCTACCTAGTCGATAAAAGAAAAAATTTTGAATTTAATAAAATTAACTCACCTCCATAGTTGTCGAAAAATCCTTGAACTGCGTTCAATACAGCCATGGTGGTTAAGCCGGAGTGCGGATGACAATATCGTTTGAATTCACCTGTCGTGCGGATAAAACAAAAAAAAAAAATTTAGAAAACGATAATTTCAAACTATGCAAAAAATCGGAACCATAGTCAATGTAAACGACGGCAATACCGAATTAAACTTAAAAATATCATTACTGTATATATAGGTATAATGTTATATTATGTGCCACGAGTGTCGACGAAAAGCGTACACGAATATGACGGGTGCACACACGCAAACGTGCGTCTTTATCGATGGCCAGATCGCGACTACTGCAAATTTGAAATTAATATCACAACTTATTAGTCTTTGGTCAACAACACACTAGCAACGCAACGACGGCTACGGCTGCGGCTACGACGACGACGACGACGGCGGCGGCGGCGGCGGCGGCAGCGACTACTGAAGCGGCGGACGGCTGAGCGGCGACTGACGACTGACGAGCTCGTGCAGCAGGTCATTCATTATTATTATTATTATTATTATTATTATTATTCGCTCTCCGCCGAACCGGACCGCCGCCGGAGCAGGTTGGTCGCGTTTCTGCGCACAGGGTCAAGACCGGCCGAGGGATGCAAGGTCGGCGCCGCCGCTCAAACCCGTTCCGCGCGTACGTCTCATCACCGCCGCCGCGGTTTTCACGCCTATAAATAAGTCATTTTGCAGATTGTCATAATATAATATTAATTGTAGTCGTCGTCGTCGTCGTCGTCGTCGTCTGAGATATTTTATTTCATACGAATCTTTATACCGTTTATCACGCGTCATCCGCCATCGACTTTAATAACTTATGAACTTACGGCGACTGATAATTAAAATCGCGACCGACAGTAGCGAAAAACGCCGCTGCCAAATTAAATCAGACGTTTTATATCATACGAGTATTTCTGATAGATGATTTGTAAGGAAACCACGGTTGAATTAAAACCGAGATAATATAATGGATGGTTTAAAATATGAATGCGAAAATAGGCGGCATCGCCTCACCTATAATGGGCCAAAAAGTCGAGATATTTTATATATAAGTTTAAAACTACCTAGTAGTAATGCGATGTTACATTAAAGGATATAAAATACAAACAGTCTTTTGAAACAACGATCAATTTTTTTTTAGTTCGTGTATACCTGTTGCGAACGGATTACAATCACATTTGTTTTTATTTATCTGAATCTGATTAGGTATATACGCTCGAAAGCGGTTGTAATATAGTTATGTATAAATGGGATACATCACCTCGTTTGTAAATAGTCCGAATTGTCTGTGCGTGCGAATGGTCTGTAAATATATTATGTATATGGTTGACGGGGCGAAAAAATAGTGATTCGCCAACGACCTGTGTGCTTCGCGCTCGATACGTACGTGTGTACTGTGCGAGCACACATTGTCACATTTATATGAGATCGGGAATATTATTATTATTATTATTACAATCGGTTTTTTTCTGTTTCGTTTTCCCGGTTACCCTGTAACATGTACCGATCAAGAAAAACTGGTTGCGCGCACGCGGAAACGGCAAGTACGACGACTGCAAAGTAGGTTATAAGAGACATGTTATACTAAAATAATAATAATAATAAACGGAATAATAAACGAATAAATCGTCCAACGACTATTCCGCGATTCCACTTTATATGAATAGTGTGTACATTATATTATAATAAGTGGTATTTAATTATTGATCAAGTTTACTGCACGCAGGTATGAATGTTTAATAAATTATGAGTGGGCGTCCAATTGATACAAAGGGATATTTTTTTTTTATATATAAAACCAAACGATAGCTGTTACTTAGTATATATGATTCAGGAAATCGGGTACAATTAAATTTCGTTTATATACTCTTCCGTATAAAACGTAAAAAAGTGATTTGAAAAAAGCAGCAAAAAACGACGAAAGTGTTCAATAATAAATATACATATTGTACGAGTATAAAACGTATACCCATGTCTACTTATAGTATTGTGTCACGAATACGATTTCGCCAATCGATCTCCGCCGACACGCCAAAACGCCGTTGCGTACAATACTATATAATACATATAATATACGCAGTAAACAGAATTAGCGCGCCTATGTAATATCTGTGTAAAATTACGTGTGACCTAACCTACTCATGCCATTGCCGAAAAAGAAACAAAAAAATCGTTATCTAAGTATCGTATTATTATCGTCATTGCCAGTCGATCGATATATATATATATCATAATTCATAATATTATGCTGTCCGCTAGCCCAACGTTTAGTTACAGTCGTTACGTGTATGGCGTGCGTGATTTTCCGAGGAAACGACGCGTGAAGACGTCGGAAAGAGAGCGAAAAATAAGGAACAAAAAAAACGTGTTTGACGTAATTATATCGATATGACATAATGCTTTTATATTTTTATAGAGGTGTATCGCACCTATGATAATCCGATAATATGAAACATTTTATGTAGGTACATTATGAAGAAATATGAAATTAAATGCCAAAAATAGCCGCCCATTGATCTGATAAAATATTACGAGTACAATACGAAAGAGAAGAAGAAACATACCTACAGAATAAGATAGTAACGTGATAAGGTAAAACAGTCAGTATAAGTATGTATAATACCTAATATGAATGTGATAAACTACAAAAAATGAGAAAATGTAATTTAAAAAATTAATATTCATTTTACAATAACAAAATTATAAAATTTACTAAAAAAATATTAGTTGCTCAAATTCTTTAAAACTCAACATGAATTATACATAATAAATATATTATTTTAATTATTTAGAATGATAATTTGGTAATTTAGCGATATTATATTGAATTTATAATAATAATAATAATTCCGCCTAACAACAATATACAGTAATAGCGTACAACAAGTATTTGGTAATCTCCAAGACAGTTTGTGTTCAGTGATCATAAGAGTGTATAGGTTATAGGTACCCAGGTAGATATACATTATTTTCTGACAGTTAGCATCGATTTTTTGAATTGTATGGTATTTTAAATTTTAGATACGACAAATTTTTATTTTTAATTGTTTGCGTTGATAGTTAAATATATATTATAGAATTCCATTTAACTTCAATATTTTGAATTTCTATTTATTTCTAAAAATCATATAAATGTTAAAAAATAACATTAAGACCCCGACAATTCAAAATAATATTTGACCTACCGCAAAAAGACGGGAAACAGATGACAAAATACAAAAATCACTGATAAGTCGTCGGTACGACACAAGGCCGAAATAACATCACAGCTGAGGTGTTGTATATTTTATGGGGTAAATCCGAAAATGAATCGTCACCATGAACGAGGACTGCATTATCATATCGTATACACTATACGCACAGAATAAACATCATAATATTATTATATTATCATTACTAACGTACGCCGTCATGGCTGGCTGCGATATGCCCAGAATACCGGTATTTCTCGTTTAAGTTTTCAAGTACCCATGGAATGAAAATATCGGATTTTATTGTTTTATAAAACTCTCGTTTTGCAATAATATAATAATTGCAAAATATAATTCCGGATCTATGAGACGCTCACGCGCCACAGCTATAGGCAACTCGTTTTACATGTTTTTTGGGTTCTCTCCTCGCCCACCTAGGACACGAAACATTTAAAATATTAATTACATGGAGTTTGATAACTGTAATTATGTTATTGTAAGACACCGCGAACATCATGAATTGTCCGTTAACTACCACGTGTCATAACTTGATACAGTGACATGTAACAATAGGGTTCAAGTGCAGTTATTCAGGCCACATCTTAAAGTTGGGTGGGTGAGTGAGTTTTGATGGAAGATCAAAAATGAAACAAAAAGACGATATTTTAATAGAGAAATATTAGAAGATGAAATATAATAAATAACTAAACGACATTTATCGGTATAACAATTTACATTACATTGGAGAGGTCATCTGCTAATATTATTTGAAGAACACAACTTTTTATTAACACTCCGCACAATGACTCAATATATTACGACTATATAAAAATAAATAAATATAATGACGTTTGGCGGACCAAATGCTCTATAATTGCTGTACTCAAAATCACAATAAAATTTTTAAAAATTAGATAACTACCTACAGAATCATTAATATTGATATACTCGATAGCTGATGTTCGGACCGGTTTTATATAATCTTTAATGAGGTTATACAATCCGAAAATTAGACTGGGATAGATTTGTGAACGCCGCGCCGACGGAACTCTTCCTGTTGACCTCCAAGAGGAAGGACACCGGAACATTAGGAATCCATCGGAACAAGATTAAGAATTATGTAATTACACATCACACGATGTGCCCACGCAATATTTACAAAAACCAGAACACCGCCACGAGTGTCAAAAAATAATAAGACAATATTTTATTAGAATTCAATGGAACCTGCTTTTGCAAAAAAAAAAAATTAACACAGACCAAAAAGTTTAACGATTTTAAGGTCGAGAAGAAAACACGAGATTCGATAGACTCGAAGCATATTTTATATCATGTTTATTTTTTTACCCTGCTCTAGTATTACGGCACAACATTGCATGATTAAATAAACGTAAGAACACTGCTCAGGAGAACATGTCAAACATCTGTAAACTCGTAATGAAATTCATTTGTGAACATTATGTACTTAGACATATAAAAAATATTATTTTAATATATCATATAATATATAGTGCACGCGTCACATTAAACAGAAAAATACCATACATACGCTTACAATGTCACGTTTGACGGCCATGCATTAAGTTACAGTGTTACAGTACTGCAGAGCATGTACCTATTAGTGTTTGGAGTACACAGAATATATATTAAAAATTATATTCAATAAACAAAATATTATTGACGAATACAGTAAACGAAATTAAATTATTTAGCGAATGACTATCTAGTATTTATGAGCCCGTTTAAAGATTGTCTTAAAAAAATATGCTTAAAAGATGATGTAGAAAACCAATACCTATATGTCTCCTGAGATTTTTAAGACAATAATAAAAATACAACAGAAAATATATATCTTTAAAATAGACAG